TGTACCTGTTTTTCTTCATGAGAATATCACACTGTCTTCATTGGATGATTTGCAGTAGGTTTGGAAATCATCCAACTTTATTTTTTTGGTCAGATTATTTTAGCTGTTCTGGGTTCTTTTTATGTCAATATAAGTTTTAAAAGCTACTTGCTAGTTTTGCAGGAAAGGAAACTGCTGTTTGATTGGAATTGCATTGAATAAGCAGATAAGTTTGGGGAGTTTTGCCATCCACAGCATTTTTCTTGACATTCTATGTAAATGAAATGTTCGCTAAGAGCTTTAATGTTTTTCAGTAATGTTTTTAGTTTTTAGGGTATGAATCTTGCTGTTACTTTTGGATTGTGTGCTGCTAATGGGTAGAAATAGTTGATTTTTATATATTGATCTTATGTTCTGGAACATTGCTGAATGCTGATATCTGTAATTCTCAGGAGTACAGCATGGCATTAAATCCAAAAAATGCTTCAAGGTGTCTTCTGATAATTTTAACCTCCCAGTGTGCTCTTAATTTGAAATTATGACAATATTCAGTCCATTCTTTAAAAGAGATTGTTTAATTTACAAAATGATTCATTGTAACATTGGAAAATAAAGGTCTTTACTTGATTTATTGTAATTGAATTTAAAATATTAAGCTTATAGTAAATTTCTGGGGTGCATTCCTGTTAAAATAATATATCCATGGGGCTGGAGAAATGACTCAGGGTTAAGAGCACTTAATGTTCTTGCAAAGGCCCTAGGTTCACTTCTCAGCACCTACGTGGTGCCTCACAACCCCTTGTAACTTCAGTTCCAGGGGATATGATGCCCTCTTCTGGCCTCCAAAGGTATTAGGCATGTGGGGGAAACATGCATACCCATACAAAATAAAAATAAAGACTCTTTAAAGGAAGATATTCATGGGGTTGAGATGACTCAGTTCATAAAATGTTTGCCCAGTAAGCATATGAGAACCTGAGTTTAGATCCGTAGTACTCAAAGTAAAACAAAAATGCACAGTATAGTAATTGTACTGCTAAGGAGGCAAAGACAGGTGGTCTGGATTTGGGCTAGCTAGCCTCATCTCTTTGGTGAGCTCTAGGTTCTGGGACACTTTTTCAGAAAATAAAATAAGATGGACAGTGTCCGGGTGGTGGTGCATGCCTTTAATCCCAGTACTTGGGAGGCAGAGGCAGGCAGATCTCTGTGAGTTTGAGACCAGCCTGGTCTACAAGAGCTAGTTCTAGGACAGGCTCCAAAGCTTTACAGAGAAATCCTGTTTCAAAAAAAAAAAAAAAAAAAAAAAAAAAAAAAAAAAGGAAAGGAAAGAAAGAAAGAAAGAAAGAAAGAAAGAAAGAGGTGGACAGTGAACATGAACTAGAGCTACTCTGAAATCATAGTTCAGTTTATCCTCAGGCATTTGTGTTCTGGGAAAAGGATACTGTTGCTTCAGCTATTCAGTTATTTGTCCCATGCCTGCAAGGTTTCTGTGCTGTTTATTTTAGATAGTTCATTTTGACACTTAGATAAACAGAAGCTAAGCACATAAGCATACCCAGAATCAGTCCCTGAACTTTGTTGCAGGGCAGAGATAAAATGCTTAGACTTCTCCAGTGCAGATAAGTACATCACAGTTACTGGGGGTAAGTATTGTGAGGCTTCTGGGTTGTTTAGACGTTGAATGGCAGTGAAGCTTGGAAGATTTTTACTAAACTGGGTATTGTGACTCATCCACATGCATTCAGGCTTAGAGCAGGAACTGATTTCAAGACCAGTATGGGCTACACAGTATGTTCCAGGCCAGCCTGGGTTTCAATGGATACTATTGTCTTTCAGAGAAATTACTATTCATTCATAGTGAATTTAACAGATGTTCAGAAAAGTAATCATTCCTTTCATTTCCACATTTTGTCTTATTGTAACAGCTTCATTTTTATTTGCATTCTCTAAACCAAATTTCTACCCATGAGTAAACTCATTTATCACTGTAATGTTTTTCCCTCCTAAATCTTTCCAGTATAAAAATTGGCTATTTTTGAATTCTGAAAAAGTTTAGTGGGGCTGGAGAGATATCTCACAGGTTAAGAGCAGTGGCTGCTCTTCCAGAGGTCCTGAGTTCAATTCCCAGCAACCACATAGTAGCGTATAATGAGATCTGGTGCCCTCTGCTGGTATGCAGACAGACCACTGTATACATAATAAATAAAATCTTTTAAAAAAAAAGTTCTATAGAATTAATTTGAAGAATGTTTCTATATAATTATAATTTCTAGAGTTTTATATTTATAGATGCCAGACTTTGTAGATAGAAAAGGTATAGGCCCCTCTCAAAATGTTACATTAAATTAGATGTCCTGTTGATAAACCCAAGGTTGTTTTTGTTTCTGTTGAAATCCCCCATTTCCTTCCTTGTTTTAAGTCTTCCTCATTGATTGAGTAAACTCTATTCTTTGACTTTCCTAAATTGATAGTTTTGTGAATGGATGCCTGTCGTGATATTTTGTTTATTATTGAACAAATAAAGCTTGCTTGAAGATCAGAGTGCAAAGCTGACCACATTAGCTAGCCATAGAGGCCAGGCAGTGTTGGTACACACCTTTAATTCTAGCACTAGGGAGACAGAGGCAGACAAATCTCTCTTAGTTCAAGACCACCCCGAGTTACACAAAATTGATCCAGTCTAAAAGAGAAACAAAGCTCACACAAAGGTGACCTCTGAACTTGGGACCCCACACCTTTAATCACTGCACTAGAGAGGAGTATAAGGCAGGAGGAGATGGGAGTCTGAGGTTTGGTGGGGAGCTGTGGAGTCTGAGGAGCAGTGTGGTCTGGAGAACAGGATCACCTCTTTGGTCTGAGGCTGACCGCTTTGCTTATCTAATCTTCAGCTTTAACCCCAGTATCTGTCTCGTAATTCACTTAATTTGATCATCTCTAGTTTTATCTGTTTTCCTATAAGTGACATAGTTTTATTCTTCATGGTTGAAAAAAAAATCTGTCTCTGTCACACATAGAGAAGCAACCCATGTTGGTCCTATATCTTAACTCTTGTGAGTGTGCTTGAAAAATATTAATATGCAGATAACCCTGTGATGTACAGACTTGGGTCCTTGGTGTAAATACTCAGTATTGGTATAGTTGGACCATTAGGTAGATCTATTGTTAGAAATGTCCATACTGATTTCCACAGTTACTAGATGACTTTACATCCCTAGAAGCAGTATAAAGAAGGTTTCTCTTTTGTCTTATTTCTCATCAGCTTTTGTTTTCTAAACTATGCCCCTTCTGACTTTGGGGAGATATAATCTCAATGTAGTTTTCATTTGCATTTCTCTAATGGCTAGGAGGTTTAAAATATAGGATATTATCTGCAATAGGATACTTTGACCTTTTCCTTTCCTTTTTTGTATCCCCGTGCCTTCTTGGCTCATTACTCTAGCTAAAACATTCAGCAGTATATTGAGTAAGAATGGAGAAAGTGAGCTAAGTGTGGTGGCACATGCCTTTAATCAGTCCCAGCACTGGGAAGGCAGAGACAAGTGGTGTTTCAAGCAGGCCAAGGCTACATAGTGAGATCCTGTATTAGGGGATCTCTTACCTTCAGGCTCAACAGGTGTTCAACAGGCTTGCCTCCAAGCCTGATGAACCTGAGTTTTATCCTCCGGACCCACATGATCTCCAGAGACAGACAGACAGACAGACAGACACACACACACACACACACACACACACACACACACCTACCTCTCAAAAATAAAGAAGAAAGTGAATGCCTTTGCCTTGTTCTTGATTTTAGTGGAAATGCTTTGAGTTTTTAACTATTTAGTATAATTAATGTTGGCTATATATTTGTTATATGTATCTTTTGAGTATATTTTTTGTATCCCTAGTCTTTTCAGGGGTTTTGTGAAGGGATGTTGGATTTCATCAAAACTCTACATCTGTTGAGATAAAACTCTCCTTGGGTATTGATGTGATTGTTGCATATATTGATTTACATATGTTGAGCCATCCCTACCTCGCTAATGGTGAATGATCATTTTCGTTAACATCAATTTGGTTTGCAGGCATGTTTTTCAGAACATTTGCATCTATGTTTAGCAGGGGAATTGGTCAGTAATTTTTCCTTATTTGTTATGTCTTTTTTGTTTTTTTCGAGACAGGGTTTTTCTATGTAGCCTTGGCTGTCCTGGAACTCTGTAGACCAGGCTGGCCTCAAACTCATAGAGATCCGCCTACCTTTGACTCCTGAGTGCTGGGACTAAAGGCGTGTGCCACATCACCTGGCCAAAATTGCCAGATTTTTTATGTTTTTTGGGTTTTTAGTTTGTTTGTTTGTTTCCTTTTCTCCTCTCTCTCTCTCCCTGCATATGTAGGCTATATAGAGTAGGCTGGCTTCTAACTTACAGAGATCGCCCACCTCTGCCTGACAAGTGATGGGATTAAACATGTACAACACCATGTCCCATTGAACATGATATTTGTCTTTTTTTTCTGAGCAGCAAAAATATTTAATAGTAGAAATAGTGGTAAAAGTTACATAAATAAAAGAAGACTCTCTTCAGGAAACATATTTTTAAAAATTTCTTCTTGCTTGAATGTAAAAATTAATGGGCAAAAGGAAATTGCTGGAGGGTGTGGATAGAGATGATACAGTGATTAAAAAGCATGTGTACTGCTCTTACAGAGGACCCAAGTTCAATTCCCAGCAACTATGTCAGGCAGCTCATAATCACCTATAACTCCAGTTACATAAGTATTCAAGTCGTCCGGCCCCCTGGGTGCCTGTATACACACACACACACACATAAAATAATAAAATCAAATCTTGAAAAAGGAAATTATTGGGTGGATGTAGAATTAAAAATTAATTCAGTAACTAAATTTGAAGAATTTAGTAGGAAAATTTATAGTTTTATTCAAGTTATATTAATAGGAAATCTTAAAAGGTTATCATAATTAATAGTATGATCAAAGTAACATCAATTTATCATTGTGATTTTTTTCCTTTTTTTTTTTAGCTTCCCAGAATCAAGAACGGCTGTGTGCATTTAAAGATCCCTATCAACAAGACCTTGGGATAGGTGAGAGTAGAATCTCTCATGAAAATGGAACAATATTATGCTCCAAAGGTAGCACATGTTATGGTCTATGGGAGAAATCAAAAGGGGACATCAATCTTGTGAAACAAGGCAAGTAATACCTTTTTTTTTAAACTTAAAAATTCTTTGTGGGTTTTTCCCCCCCTTCTGGGTGCTGAGAGTCAAACACAGAATACCATGCACAGAGGCAGCAGGCGCCCTGCCACAGGGCTATGTCCTCAGCATGTTTTTATACAGTAAGAGCTTATCAGAAAAGACATGTCAGTAGATTAAGATCCTATCCAGAACAGTAGCAAATAAGAATGCCAACATGTACATATACCTATATATTTACCCACAAGTTCCAAATTTGTAAAATTTTTACTTTTTAGTGTAGTTTGATTGATTGGCTAATTGATTGGCTGGCTGGTTGGTTGGTTGATTGATTGAGTGATTGATTGGCTGAGATAAGGTCTCTAAACCAGGCTGGCCTGGAACTCATAGAGATCTGCCTTTTTTTGCCTCCCAAGTACAGAGACTAAAGGCATGTTCCACCACGCCTAGCCTTTTAATAATGTTTTATTTTAATTACATCTTTGTCTTTATAAGTTAATATATGTGAATGAGGTTTGGAAAAACTATTTTTTTTTTCTGAGTTGGAGAAAACTACTCAGAAAAACCAAGGTATACAACTCAGTTCTCTTAAAAAGTATTATTTTTATACTGATTTGTTCCCTTTAGATATATTTTTATGTACTTTAATATTTACATGTGTACCAGTCTTCTTTGAAAATTAAAGTAACGCTATATAATAATTACATGCTCTTTCCCCACATGTAATTATAAATAAGTTCTGAAGATACTTGCATTTCAGCACTATATTTCACTATGTACATGTATCACAGTTTACTTACATGCTTTGGATAATGTGATATTTTAAGGTTTTCACTGAAATGCATTATCCTGCAGTAAAAAAAAAACTTTAAACATATAAAAATTGTGTCTGATTGTTTTTTAAAGTAGACTCTTTGATGTAGAATTAGCAGATCATAAAATGTATGATTATTTTAAAGGCTCTATATTAAAATTGCTATGGATTTTTCCAAAATTATCATCATGTTTACATTTATTATAGAATTGTATGAGAGTAACTGTCAGTAACACTTTGTTATGATTGCATATTGTTATTTTAAAACAGGACAATTTAAAACAGTTTGACTTTACTGTTTTAGGAATAATTCTTATAATAATAGTGCAGTTACTTATAACCATGTTGTTGGTTGCTTTTTTGCTCATGAAATTTCTGTTGTATCTTTTACCATTTTTTTCCAGGTTGTTTTATGATATATATTACTTAGTTTCATATTACTGCAATTATTTCATAGTTTTTTGTTTCACTTAGTATTATTTCCTGACTTACTTTAATATTGATCTGTAGGATGTTGGTCTCACATTGGTGATCCCCAAGAGTGTCACTATGAAGAATGTGTAGTAACTACCACCCCACCTTCAATTCAGAATGGAACATACCGTTTTTGCTGCTGTAGTACAGATTTATGTAATGTCAACTTTACTGAGAATTTTCCACCTCCTGATACAACACCACTCAGTAAGTATTTACAGTAACTTCTTTATAATTCTTTGCTTTACAAGTTTTGAAAATATAAAACAGATAAATATTCAAGGTTAGTAGAAGTGAGAGACAGTTCCAATGTTGTAAATTTTTGTCTAAAATTCCAAGAGATTCACCAGCACCAGCAAAGCATCAGTATGTCACCTTCTAAGTCTGAATCAAGATATATTTTTCCTTTTGTTAGGAAATGGTGGTGTGTGCTTGTACTTCCAGAACTCTAGAGATTGTAAGTTCACAGCCACCCTGAGCTACCTGGTAAATTCTTGGCCAGTCTGGACTATATAACAAGACCACGTCTCATCAAACAGAAAACTAAAACCCTCTTAAGGAAGGAAATTAGTAATATCAAGAAAACTACAAGTCAGGCATGGTGGTGGACACCCTTAATTCCAGCACTTGGGAGGCAGAAGTAGGTGGATCTCTGTGAGTTTGAGGCCAACGTGTTTTACATAACAAATGAAAAGCCAAAACCCAAAATAAAACAACAACAAAAAAATTCAACCAAACAAAATGAACATTAGCAACAAATTCCTTCATAAAGGATAAACATGTAACTATAGAATAGAGGAAGAAGGTAAGACTGTGTAATTGAAGTTTGCAATGCAACTTATTGATATAGCTAGGAGTTTTAAAATATGTATATGTACATCACATGTATTACATGCATGCATGTATATAGTCATATATAATGTGTATGTGCATATATCTTAAGTGTATAAATTTAATCATACATACTCCGGTAGTTTGAATGAGAATGGCCTCATAGGCTTACATGCTTGAGTGCTTGGTCTCGAGTTCATAGAACTGTTTGGGAAGGGTTAGAAGGTATGGCCTTGTTGGAGGAATTGTGTCATTGGGGGTTTTGAGATTTTAAAAGTTCACACCATTCCCAGTTAGCTCTTTGCCTCATGGATCAGATGTAAACTCTCAGCTACTGCTATACTACCATGCCTGCATGCCACCATGCTTCCTATCATGATGGTGCCCAATAAACTATTTCTTACCTTGGTCATGTTCTTTTCGCAGAAATAGAAAAGTAACAGAGGCAGAAGTTGGTGCCAGGAAGTGGCATATTGCTGTGACAGGCCTGTCCATGGTGTTTTTTTGGAGGAATGTATGAGACTTTCTTTAATAAGAGAGTGGCTCAATACTATAAATGGTTGAATGGCTATACTAGTAGGAGCTTGGAAGAATAGTGCTGAGAGTATTGTGGGCATTGGAGGACAACTCAAGAGGTTTCAGAGGGGAACAATCTTAACAACTAGCCTAGAGTTCATTCTTGTGATATTTTGGCAAAGAATGTGGTAGCTTTTTGTCCTTACCACAACAATCTGAGGATGTAAGTGCAGGTGCCAGCAGAGGCCAGAAGAAGGAATTGATAGAGTTACAGGTGGCTCTAAGCTGCTCTATGTGGGTGTTGAGATCTAAAAATTGGATTGTCTGCAAGAGCATTAGATGCTCTAACCCATCAAGCCATCTGTCTAGCCCCATAAAACATTTTTTAAGTGCTAAAAGGACTTTTTAATTAAGCAATAGTTGAACTGCTATAATGACTAGACTGTCCTATAATTAATGGCAAATGATCCATCCCCAGTAATCATTAAAAAAAAAAAAAGGTGGGCATGTTGGCATAGGCTTGCAATCTCAGCTCTGGGGAGACAGGCAGAGAATGGGGCTCACCAACCTAGTCAGATAAGAAAGCCTCAGGTCCTAGTGAGAGACATTGTCTCAGAAAACAAGCTGGACAGTGCATGAATTACACCAAGCTGTCCTGTGGCTTCCATACATGTGAGTGCACACACAGCTGTATGTGCACAGGTACCTACATGTGTGTATGCGCACACACAACATATAGTGTGCTAGTGGCAGTGTGGGTCAAGTGAATAAATGGATGCTTTAACATTGTCTCAGTGTTAAACTTTACTGATAACAATATTGTGGTTTAATAGTCATCTAAATAGCTAAGAATAAGAGAATAAATGTGGAAAATATCTATTTCATATGAAATATTATTTAACTGTTGAAGCAAACAGCTATAAACTCAGGTAAAGTGGTGCATACCTGTAATCCCGGTACTTGGAGAAGTGGAGACAGGAGGATTCGAAGCTCAAGGCTAACCTCAGCCATTTAGCAAATTCATGGCCTCTTTGGGTTTTATGAGATCCTGTTTCAAAAAAACTAAATAAATAAGAAAACATATCAATAAATATTATGAAAAGTACACAATGATGTTGAAAATACATATTTTGCTAAACAAAAAAATTTCTGGTGGACTGGAGTAGTTAAGGACACTGGCTGCTCTTGCAGAAGACCCAGGATTGATTCTCAGTACCCACCCACATGGTAGCTCACAACTACATGTTTTGTTTTGTTTTTGCTCCCTCTGTCTCTCTCTTAGAGCACTTTGTTAGTCCAGACTGGCTTCTAAATCCCTATGTATTCCAGGCTAGCAATAAACTCAAAATCTTCCTGTTTTCAGTACACAAGCCTTGCAACTACAAGTGTATACCACTGTACCAGACTTGTTTTCTTTTAAAAAGTGCCCTTTTGTCCTCGAGAGATGGCTCAATTGCTAAGAGCACTGACAGCTCTTCCAGAGGACCTAGTTTTGAGTTCTAGGATCCACATAGTGGCTCCCACCATCTGTAATTCTAGTCCCAAAGCATCTGATATTGTCTTCTGACCCCTGACCCCTGAGGGCATTAGTCCTGTATATGATGCACAGATATACATGCATGCACAACAACCATATTCATAAAATAAAACTTAAAAAAATGCCCTTTTGTCTCTGGTATTATAGTGTTGGGCACATACTGAATGAATGAATAAATAAATAAATAAGTTTGTGTGAATGTGCAAATTATGAAATATTATTAAAAGCTTGCAATTCACAAATATTTGAAGAGATTAAGTTAATGCCCATCTTCTGTATACATATGGTGCACAGACATTTATGCAGGCAAAACACCCATACATATATTAGCTCCTCATTTCTACTCATTGTTAAGTATATAGTACCACTTTTAGTTTCTTATCTCTGCACTTCAAAAATGAAGCATCATGTCGACCAGTAATGGCACATACCTTTAATACCAGCACTCAGGAGGCAGAGACAGACAGATCTCTGTGAGTTTGAGGCCAGCCTGGTCTACAGAGTAAGTTCCAAGACAGCCAGGGCTACACAGAGAAACCCTGTCTCCCCCCCCCAAAAGAAAATCAGAATATTTTAGGTACTTGATTTTATTAAAGTAATAGAAGGACCCAGAAAACTTTCCGTTAGATGCCATCATATCATCACATTTTCAAACAAATATCCTTGAAAAATATACTTGTAGCTTCTTTGAATTTGTAAAGAAAACACTTCATGACTACATAGTAAGGCTACATTCTAGGTAATAGCAGAAAGTATTTACTTAGTATTCTTTGTTCTGATTATTTCCTTGGATATTGTTTTTAGCTGGAGAGCTTATTTCTTAAAAAAAAAAAAACACTTAACATTTATATGCTTATAGGTGCTTTGGTCTCACATGTGTATGTACATCATGCCTGGTCTCTCCTCAGAGGCCAGAAGAGGGCATTACATGCCCTGGCACTGGAGTCACAGATGGTTGTCATCCACCATGTGGGTCTTCTGGAAGAGCCAGGAGTGCTCCTAACTGCTGTGCCTTTTCTCTAGTCCACAAAGCTATACTTTACTTTTATTTATATGTATCTGTGTTCTGTGTGAGTGTCAACCACATGTGTGCATTTTCTCACAGAGGCAAGAAGGGGGTATCAGATCCCTGGAATTGGAGTTATAGGAGGCTATGAACTACCTGATCTGGGTCCCAGGACCTGCACTCAGGTCATTTGAAAGAGGAGCAAACAGTAAAAAAAATCAGTGGCTCACTGAGGATGAAAAAATAAAACTCTCTTCAGAAAAAAAGTAGCTCCTGACTTCATTAGCCACTCTGGAATGTATGTTAGTAATTAAGTAAAGCATGTAACACCAATGGGCTTTTAAGATGTGACCAATGGTATGACCATAAATGGGTGTCTAATTGCTCTGAGCCATTCAGAAATTACTTGTATATAAAGTTAGGACTATGGAGAAAAAGTATTTTATGTACTTTTAGTTTATACTTAAAAAAAAAGTTATAGATTTTGTGAATTCTTTTGCTGTCTGTTTTTTATTTTGTTTTTACTTTTAAGACAGGGTCTCTTCCAAAACAGAGAAGGGCAAACGGGTTGTGCCCTCCCCAACTAGACACTCATTGTTGGGTGCTGACTACATGGCAGTGAGAGTGGGGTGTCCCTCTTTTCTTTCTTTTTCCTTTTTTCTTTTTTTCTGTCTTTTTCCTCTCACACAGAAAACAAGTATCTGTTTCTCAGATCTTTCTCTGTCTCTCTCAAATCTACACCACCCCACTTAAATACTCTGGAATCTGGAGAAGTCAGCCCTGCCTGCCCCAGAGATGCCAAAAATGGGGACTCCTGGACAGAGGCCCTGGGACATCTCCCCGCCCCATACATCCCCACCTTCTGCCCCTCCGGATGGCTTTATTACCTCATCTTAAACCAATAGAATCACTTGGTGGACAGGATTGTCTGACTCAGTTATCTACCTCCTCGGAGGGAGTTTCTGCTACTGTAGAAAATTATTGGCTGTGCTTTGAAGTTTTTTTTTTTTGTTTTGTTTTGTTTTGTTTTGTTTTTTGTTCTTGTTGGTAGTGGTGATCCTTAAATTTTAATACTTTGAAGAAGGGATTTTGGTGTGTGTGGTTGTATTTTTTTAATTGATTTATTTTTGTTTACCCATATGAGAAATAAGAGCCAAAGGGACCTAGTAATAACAAAGAACTGGTGGTGGCTACTTGCTCTAGGCCTCCTGATGGGAAGTGGATTTTACAGGACAGCATGTCCTCATCACTTAGGCGTTCTTAGCTTGTGCAAGCAAACCTCTGCTGTATTGATGGGGGCATGACTCCCATCTAGCA